AGGACATTCATTTAAAAAGAATATTCCACATCTGACTTTTCCATTCTCATTACAAAAACAAATAAGAACATTGAAAAAATAAATCACAAAAGGACATTCATTTAAAAAGAATATTCCACATCTGACTTTTCCATTCTCATTACAAAAACAAATAAGAACATTGAAAAAATAAATCACAAAAGGACATTCATTTAAAAAGAATATTCCACATCTGACTTTTCCATTCTCATTACAAAAACAAATAAGAACATTGAAAAAATAAATCACAAAAGGACATTCATTTAAAAAGAATATTCCACATCTGACTTTTCCATTCTCATTACAAAAACAAATAAGAACATTGAAAAAATAAATCACAAAAGGACATTCATTTAAAAAGAATATTCCACATCTGACTTTTCCATTCTCATTACAAAAACAAATAAGAACATTGAAAAAATAAATCACAAAAGGACATTCATTTAAAAAGAATATTCCACATCTGACTTTTCCATTCTCATTACAAAAACAAATAAGAACATTGAAAAAATAAATCACAAAAGGACATTCATTTAAAAAGAATATTCCACATCTGACTTTTCCATTCTCATTACAAAAACAAATAAGAACATTGAAAAAATAAATCACAAAAGGACATTCATTTAAAAAGAATATTCCACATCTGACTTTTCCATTCTCATTACAAAAACAAATAAGAACATTGAAAAAATAAATCACAAAAGGACATTCATTTAAAAAGAATATTCCACATCTGACTTTTCCATTCTCATTACAAAAACAAATAAGAACATTGAAAAAATAAATCACAAAAGGACATTCATTTAAAAAGAATATTCCACATCTGACTTTTCCATTCTCATTACAAAAACAAATAAGAACATTGAAAAAATAAATCACAAAAGGACATTCATTTAAAAAGAATATTCCACATCTGACTTTTCCATTCTCATTACAAAAACAAATAAGAACATTGAAAAAATAAATCACAAAAGGACATTCATTTAAAAAGAATATTCCACATCTGACTTTTCCATTCTCATTACAAAAACAAATAAGAACATTGAAAAAATAAATCACAAAAGGACATTCATTTAAAAAGAATATTCCACATCTGACTTTTCCATTCTCATTACAAAAACAAATAAGAACATTGAAAAAATAAATCACAAAAGGACATTCATTTAAAAAGAATATTCCACATCTGACTTTTCCATTCTCATTACAAAAACAAATAAGAACATTGAAAAAATAAATCACAAAAGGACATTCATTTAAAAAGAATATTCCACATCTGACTTTTCCATTCTCATTACAAAAACAAATAAGAACATTGAAAAAATAAATCACAAAAGGACATTCATTTAAAAAGAATATTCCACATCTGACTTTTCCATTCTCATCACAAAAACGAATAAGAAAATTGAAAAAAACAAATCACAAAAGGACATTCATTTAAACTCAAATAATGCCAAATCAAATAAATACAACTTTTCAAAACAAACAAACAAAAAATTGGTTCATAAGAAAACTCTTAAAACTAAATAGATCAACATTCCCTCATATGAGATTTATTTGGTGATAAATTTTAATTTTTTTAGTAAAACTTTTCACGACATACTAAGGCACGCCGTATAAAGTTATAATATATTATAACATAAAAAGATGTCGTCTTAAGTACAAATATTCCATGAAAAACTTTTGTAAGTCGTAAAAATACATAGTTTTTATAACATATTTTTACATGTCATAAACATATAAGTCAATGATTTACATAATATGTATGTCATTCTTAACAAACTATCAACAGCGTGTGCAAAAAAAAAAAACAAAATACGATAAATACACCAATTACGATATATAGTTGATGCATGCAGTTAACATAAAGTCGTAAAAAAATTAATTTTATTGTAGTGAAGCAGGACTTTTGAAGGTGATTGGTTGTTAGTTCGAGCACGAATATGTACTATTCTCTCTACCTTAAAAATAAAAATAAAAAAATTCAAGATATAGCACAAAAAATTTTTTTGAATTTTTTCGGCATTTTTTAAATCCTAAAAAAAGTGAAAAAAAACGTCATTAAAAGCCTTCTTAACATTTTTTCAAGCATTTTTCACAAACCCAGCCAAAGCCATTGTCAAGAATATTTCTGGCATTTTTTAAATCCTGAGAATATTACTGGCATTTATTTAAACACCGAAAAAAAAAAAAAAAATATGAAGAAGTTATCAACGGCATGATTTCAGTGTCGTCAACATATTGCCAAGATTCTGAAAAATGCCAGGAATATTTTTAAAAAATATTTAAAATGATTATATTTCAATTAAAGATTATTTACAAGTTAAAAACATTCATAATAAATAATTGGGTAAATTATATTGACACTCCCTGAGATTTATATTTATTACAGTTCTCCCCCTCACCCCTCCCTGAACTTTAAAGTTTCATTACAGATTATTCCCTGAGGTTTCAAGTTTCATAACAGTTCTCCCCTTACCGTAATGATCATCATACATAAAATTAAATTAACTAAGGGGGATCAGTGTAATTTTCCAAATATGAGGGGGAAACTGTAATAAATATAAATCTCAGGGGGTGTCAGTTTAATTTACCCTAATTAATTTCAACTAAACATTCCTAATAAATTATACAATCATTCACAAAATATGTCACCAAAAAATACATCAAATTAGATAAAGGTAAAAAAAAGAAAAAAACAAAAACAAAAGTCTGATAAGAAGTCATCGTTACATCCAGCTACATCAGCCCGAGCAACAGTTGCACAAATGAAACCCACTTCGACCATATACAATTGACATTATCTTCAAATTTCCTTCTAAAATTACCTGTAGCAAAAAATAAGTAACTAACAAATGAAGATATACGCAGGTTATTTAAACATAATATTAACAGAACTATATATCCAAAAATATTTTGTTTTAGAAGTTGTAATGCACGTTATGAACAAAAACTTAGCAATGTATAGTCATAAAATCATTTTCTAAAGATTTAATTCAGGTTGTTGCTTAAAATCCTCAAAGCCAGACAATAACAAACGAAATATATATAATATTTGCAGACGGTTTTTTTCGTTTCATCAATTTGGCAAGAAAGGCACAATAATGAATCACCTATTTTACTAAAAACTTTTCATCTTAATAAGAAAAGAGTAAACTGATAATAGGTCATAATAGTTGGATTTAATTCCTATCAACTCTTATTAGAAATACTTTATAGTAAAATCGTCGTTAAAAATAATTTTTTGTGATATTTTTAGCATATTACTAAAAATTAACAATTAGTGATTTTTTTATAAATTGTCGCTGAAACTTACAATTAGTGACATTTTTCTGTGACAATTTTTTCAAGCTATTACTAAAAATTAAAAATTAGCAACTTTTTTTGTGACGATTTTTTTAAACTATCGCTAAAACTTATAATTAGTGACATTTTTTTATAACAAAATTTAACAATTGGTGACTTTTTTTTTAATAGTGGTTGATGAAAAATATCATTAATTATCATAAAACCTATTGGATAATGAATCCACCTATTAAAACTTACACGTAAGTCCTCTATAAGAAAATTAATAGGTACAGAGTCTGGTTGGAAAAGAGGAAAACTAACCTGAAAATTGAGAATTTTGGTCCAGAGCCACCACCGCTCACCACCATAGCCCACCACAGATCGGTTACCTCTTCTTCTTCTTCTTTTCTAGCCTGCCACTAGTCCATCGAAACCCTCACTCTCCTTCACCAGAACCCCATCACCACTTCGGCCTTCTCCTCCGACACAAATCTAAAACATCCATCCCACCATCGTCATGATTGCCATCAAAACCTTTATTCTATATCATAGATATAACATCACGTCCCCTTCTCTACCACCACCTCACAACTTGTCTACAACTGAAGCCTCGCGTCCTCAACCATATATCCACTACCCCCTCATTTTCTTCACCAGTTGCCGACTATCAAAAACCCTTATCCACCAAACAATGAGAAAGAGAGAGAGAGAGAGAGAGAGAGAGAGAGAGGGGGAGGGAGAGAGGGGCAGAATAGATAATAAAAGGGGTTGCTAAGGTTTTTTCAAATTAAAAGCTATTTCGATAACATTTGCAATATTTGCGAATAAATGCAGTGTATAATATTTCCTTTTTTTTTGAGTAAATTGATGATAAATCCAATCTAAAGCAGGTATAAGGCATTAAGTCTAGTGAATTTTTTTGATGACAATAGATCCACCATTTGTTAAATAGTTTGGTGAGAAGTCTTTTTGTTTATTTTGAATGATATTTTGTTTTCAATTTTACCCCTTAATTTATCTGTTGACATTTTTTTATCTGTTTGACTTTTTTAATTATCTGTTCAAATTTATATCTATCTATTCAAATTATTTTCTACCTGTTCAAATTTTTTGATTATCTTTTCAAAATTTTTGAACCTATCTATTGAATTTTTATAATCTATTTTTTCTATCTGTTCAAATTCACACCATTTTCAAACTTTCTCTTCCTATTTGTTTCTCTCTCCACTTCTCTTTTCTTTCTCTACCTATTGAGAAAATTCCATTCTTTTTGTTTTATTAGTTGAAACAACTCTCTCTTCCTCCTTCCACCACCACTTACATGTTTTTGGCCCCGTTTGGTAGAGCTGTTAGAAAGTGATTAAAGATTATAACTTGACATATTATAGCTTATAGCTGTGAGTATAAGCTGGTAACCTGTTTGGTGTAACTGTGGGATTATAGATTTAAGCAGCAAAGTAGTGTTTGGTAAATAAGCTGTAAAATAGCTTTTTGTTGTATAATTGTCCTTTTTGCCCTTATGAACAGAAAATTTTTAATTTTGTCATTTTCTTTTCTTTAAATTATGAAAAAGTTATTTCATTAATGGAAGTTGATTAATTAGTACCTAATTTTGTACATTTCATGACCTCAAATTTATTTTCTTACTCTTTTTTTTTTTATTTTTTAAATGTTTTTTGTAATAATATTGAGTTGAAAAGGAAACAAAAAAATGTTTATTGCAATAAAAATACAAGAAATTACTATTAAAGCAATAAAATTAAAACTTCATACATATTTAAAGATCTCCTAATTTCGTCGGCAAATTGACATACAAATATTATGTCTCCTCACTTCCATCTCAGTGTCATCACAGTCAACATCATTTCCATGGCATGCTTGTTGAGATGAATATCCTTCCTCTTCATTAGGCACATAATCCGCAAATCTATCATAAGAGTCAAATGCAATATCGCGGAACTCACTGCGTCAGATGAAATTATGAATTGCCATTGTTGCACAAACAAGTTTGACTTGGGTCGCCCAACTATAGTTTGGTGGGATATCCTTTATCATCAGCCATCTTGCTTTCCAAACCCCAAACGTTCTTTCTATTACACTTCTAAGTGATGAATGTGCTTGGTTGAATTTTTCTTGTGCATTTTGAAGGGGTTGACCATGTTCAAATTGAGCTAGATGATATCTCTCTCCTTTGTAAGGTGCAAGATATCCTTTCATGTTTGGATACCCAGCACCCACCAAGTAAAACTCATCTATTTTAAAATTGCAAAATGAAATTAAAGTAAGCAATTATAAATGTAAAAATAAATATGAAGATGTGAGTGTAGTGCATCTACTATAGCAATAAAATATAAAACAGTTACCTCCTTGTGGCTTTGGAAAATTATAACTAGGATTCCTATTTGTATCCAAGAAGATCCGAGTATCGTGTGCACTTCCTTCCCATCCTGATAAGCAAAAGGTGAAACACATATCAAAGTCACATGCAGCCATTATGTTTTGAGTTGCATACCCCTTTCTACCTATTAAACAAGGTTGCTTATTTGGAGATATATATGCTTTGATGTGTGTTCCATCAATTGCTCCAATACAATCCTATTACAAAATAGTTCATAAAATTATTTTTAGTCACAAATTATTAGAAATATCCGACCAATAAAATAAAATAAAAAGTCAAGATGGTTGGAATATGGGAGATTATTTATTCCATAGCTCTTAATGCACTATAGAATAATTTTATGTCATCCATTATTTATCTATGAATGGATTTAATCAACTTTAAAATTTAAAAAAAAAAAAGAAGCTTAAATCCACCTGAGGGCTTAGGTTTAATATTTCTTATTTAGTATATGTAGGACAAATTTACATTTATTTTAAAATTAATCAGAATGAAATTCCAAACACTTTTTTGAGTAAAAGAAATAAATGAAAAAATAGATGTAAAATTAGCAATATCTACTAGACTATTATTGGCCTTACCTCTTCATCTGGGCTAATGCAAATTGAACTTCATTTATCGAAACTTCATTTTTCGGCTTCTTCACTTCATTTATCAGAAGTTACAAATAGCAAGTAATGCAAATTGAACTTTGTAAATTCAAACAGAATTATCATTTATCATTTGAACTTTGATAGAATTAGCAGAATTAGCATTTGAACTTTGACAGAATTATCATTTAATGAGTTTTAGAGTTTTAGAATTATTATTAAAATTCAAACTAATTGAACTTTGTAAACTGTTACAAACAGCAAGCAAATTGAACTTTGTAAAATGTTACCTTAATGAACACAACAGTTGACTATTAAAGTTGAACACACCACCTGGAAAATAAAGTTGAACACACCACCAAGTTGAACACACCACAAATAGCTGTAAAATGAACACACCACCTGGAAAACATGTACATATATATAAAAAAAACAACCATTCACCTACCATTCATATTCAAAATTGAAACCAACCATTCAACTATTTAACTAACATTTCAACTATTCAACTAACATTCAACTAGTCAACTATTTACCTACCATTCAACTATGAAAAGTCCAACATTTTTCAATATTAATCAAAGTCCAACATAGTCAAATATTAATAATAAAAGTCCAACATAGTCAATAAATATCCATCAAAGTCCAACAAATAAAGTAAAAAACAACTAGCCGTGATAACCTGTGGTGGTCTTCTCCATCTCAATCTCCAACTTTAGAAACTTCAACCGAACTTCATCCGTTGGAAGACTCATAAAGCACTCACGACGCTTGTCGCGTAAGAACAATCTGGCTGCCCATACATACAGCTCATCATTCGGGGACACACCAGGGATGCTTTCCAACTTCGCCAAACATTCTGCAATTGAAGGATATCTTGATGAGGTCTGTGTTGAAGTTGCTGAAGATGACTCAACGACATTAACTATACGATCAAGTGTCTTGTTCAGCAGAGCTGCACCAGTAACTTTCTTCTTTGTCTTGCTCTTGGTTGATGAAGTATCAGTGTTCGCTGACCGTTTTTTGTTTTGCTCGGAAGGATGAACCACCTCAAAATCAGCATCATCATGAAATTCAGCATCAAGTGGGGTATGAAATTCCTCCGGCGTCTCATCAGTCTGAGGCATTACCCCTGAGCTAGGAGTGTATGCCCATTCTCCTGTAGCAGCTACATTTGAGCATAGTATGTCTAAGTCGTCAGCGAATTGCAACGGCATACACCAGAATTTAGCAGCATCAGGATACCTCTGCAACAATTACAAAGGAAAATGTAACAATTTCAAGTAACAAAATTTGGTGTATTTAAACTAAAAACAAACAAAATGTACATTAAGCAATTCACGTACCTCCAATTTCAAAGTCCACCACTCATCAGATGCAGATATAGCTCCAGTCAATGTATCATGGCCTAATCCTGTCTCGCCCCTTAACAGATTATTCCATAAAAGCCAATCTTTTTTCAAAACATCCCAATGAATTTTCATTTGTAATCGTTGGTATGCTTTTTCAGTCATACTTTTAAACTTACTTATGACATTTTCCCAACTGACCCTATCTAAGTGTGTACCAGGTCTATGTCCAACCTTGACTTGCTCAACACAAAGCTTAATAAAAATTTCATTTGATTTTGCATCTCAATGAGCTTTAACGGATGGTACTTGACTTGATTTTCCCTTATTGTTCCTATTTTGAGACTGTGTTTCGTCTTGGTTACTCATTCTATGAAAGAAAAAAAAAACATTTAAAACAAACTCATTCATCAGTGCTTGCATTAGAACAGGTAGATCCCAACCAAAACAACCATACATGGCAACTACGTCAACATTCAACAATTACAAAGCTTAGTACAATAGTTCATAGTAAACTACATTAGCACAAAAACATGGGGTATCTCCAAATGGCACCTATCATCATTTGAAGAGTAATGCAACTGACATAACAATACAAATCGTGAGCAGACCCACAACAAGCTGCTTCATGAAAGCATTGGATTGCTCAAGCATTTGGTTCTTCACTTTTACTCCTACAGTCTCCATATTTTGATTTTGATCAAGCATGCTCTCGTTCCTCAGCCTCTCGAACATCGTTACAGATTTTGGGGTACACCACCTCCAAAATTGACAATTTCTCTTCTCACAAATGAAATATAGTCTCCCTTTAGATGGCTTGTCAGACTCGGTAACCCTTATAGCAGCTCTTAGCCCACAATCACATTTCAAAGGCTCATACCTCAAGTCGAAGCTCTCACAATTAGAATAATAGTTACTAGAGGATGACATGCCTCTGCATTAATTAGGAAAAATTGAATCCAAATCCTCATTTGGAAAAGGCATTTCTTAATGAGAAAGATAAAATTAATAAAGGCATTCACACTTAAGCACTAAGAAGTTTGAGATAATCCAATGCCTTTCAAGCCCATATGTTGGTCCAACAAAATTAGCAATGTCATGTGTACTACATGTAACACTTACTATCATTTTTTAAAATGACGAGACCAACCATGATGATATATAATTGCAGGTGTTACGAATATTAAAAATAATAAAAATAACAACTTGTGTCAATGGGGTTTTCAGTGAACAACTATGAAATTTCTCATTTTTCACTTCTTAAAGGTCAATCATCATGCCCCAAACTAATAGTAAAAATAATTTTAGTAATATTGAAAAATAATTTATAACCTAATTTAAGAATAAAAATCAATCAGAATAATGTTAAACTAATAGTAATAATGTTAAACTTATAAGTTATACTAATAGTATTTTAGTTTAAAATAACCCCTGCAGTTTAACAGCTTCATGTAGAAACAAAAGTTTGGAATAAAAACGTGAACCCATAAATTTGTTTTCATTGTTTTCATTCCATATTCATCCATAAATCAAAACTACAGTTTCATTGTTTTCATTGAATTAATTATGCATTCCATATTCATCTAATATTCCCCTGCAGTTTCAATGTTTTCATCCAAAAGGATCAGACTAACTAAATGCCCTCTAAATTTGTTTTCATTGTTTTCATTTTTCTTTGACTAATGTATGATATTACAATCAAAACTAGCCAATTAAGCAACAAAAAAGGACCAAAAACATTTTTAAAAATGTGAACCTAAAAACAGTATTAAAAAAAAAAAACTCTAACAAATCTGTTAAGGCCCCCCAACCATTTCTATTTTGCAGAGGAAGTGGTTACTTGTGATTATTCATATTTTAGATGATTTTTCATACACTGTTATAAAAAATGATCATTCCGGGCTTTAATATTGAAATCAACGATTCAGTTTGCAAGTGTTGAACAACTCTGTGACCAAATCAGTTGTCATACAAAGTACAAATTATCTATGAAAAATAGCAAGAGCAAGATCAAGCTCATAACTATTAGATTAATGTCTCTGAGTTGAAAATTTATCAACATGGCTGGTTGCCTGCCATGTTGTCCACCAAACATTACACACAACTACTCTCCGGAATTTGTGCAAGAAATAATTGGCCCAGTGCTAGCAACATTATAAGTATGCCATTCATATTACCAATAAAACTAAATGAAAGTGGGATCTACATTACAGACATCAACATGCATGCCTTAAGAATGTGCGTCTGTGCTAGATGAAGATTTGAGGCACAGCTTAAGAGAACAAAAGAAAATACTCCAATCTGAGCAAGCAATACTCCAACCTTGACAAAAGTCAACAATTACAAATTAAGGATTTGCATACTTAAACGGTCCAACATATAATTTGCCCTACAAATCTGCCCCTTTATTTTTTTGCCCCGAAGCCAAGTTAAGAGGAAATGTGATAATTCACGGGTAGCATTTCAGCAAATTTTTAGTGTTTGTATTATTTACTTTTGAGAGTGTAAACACAGCTTTTGGGGAAAAGAACTGCAGACTTTGAACCACAAACCAAAATCGATGAGAGAGAGAGAGAGAGAGAGAGAGAGAGAGAGAGAGCAACCAGAACCACAAACAAACACAAATCTTCATGGATTTGAACACAGAGTAACAAAAAACCCAAAAAAATCCTAAATCGATGTATATATCTAATATGTGTATATAACAAAACATAGGGTTTAGGGTTTCAAATCTTACTTTTTGGTGGAGATCAACAGAAAATATAGACGATCGCCGGCGATTTTGATGTCTGGAGCAGTCGGCAGCGAGAGGAGAGGAGAAAAGGAGCAGCGCCGTTTGAGAGGAGAGGAGAAGAGGAGAGTTAGGTCTGAGCTGAAGAGGCATGCTTATATAGTGGCATTTTCGATATTCCTTAAGTTTTGGAGGGGCATTTAAGTCATTCTACCCCTCCCAAAACAGCTGCGCGCATAATCTATTTTTGTAAGCACCTGCCGAGCAACTTCGAATTTAAGCTGAAATTTGGCTTAAAATAAGCCATAATCTATCCCCATAATCTGTACCAAACACACCAATCTAACTTAATTTAAGCTAAAAGCTGCTTTAAGCTGAATTTAAGTTTTACCAAACGGCCCTTTTGTTCAAATATTTTATTTGTTTAAAATTTCAATATCAACAACATCATCATCATCAACAATAGATCCAAGCCAAGGAAAAAGAAGTCGATCTAAGCCAAGTAGAAAAAGAGAAAAAAAAACAAAAAAGGAACTTTTCCAAATTTCTCATCTACAGTTGAATATACAGATGAAAATACAGATCTACAAATGAAAATACTAATCTCACCTTACTCAATAGATCACTCATTTTTTTATCTGTTTAAATCAAACACATACACAAACACAAATACAAACATATCAACTCCATGGATTTCATAATCAAACACAAACATATTTCCATATACTGGGATATTTTGGCCATTTTGTAAGAGTTTGCCCTTATGAACAATATATTTCAGCGCACTTTTGGCCAAACAAAATTCAACTCCCCCCCCCCCCCCCCCCCAAAAAAAAAAAAAAAAAAAAAAAAAAAAATTCCCCCTAAAATGGCGCAGTTTTGTTTACCCAAAAATAGCAGAGTTTTTGAAAAATTACTGGGGCTGGAAAATACAATCACCAGTGAGTTTTTGATATCTTTCAAAAAACGACGTCATTTATTTTTAAATATACAGAGTTTTATTGAAAACACTGGGAATAATAATGGAGTTTGTTAAGAAACGCTGGAAATAATAATTTATTATGGAGTTTCATAAAATCGCCGACCGGAAAAAAGTCTTTTTTGTTGGAGTTTTGAACGAAGAATATATGACCTTGTCGCACCCAGTTGTATATTTGTCCAAGTTACAAAGAGTGGACGTTAAGAATGAAGTTGATAGAGCTCACTAGAATAAATATAGTCTGAGTCGATGCCTTCCAGCTCTGATTTCAGAATCATTAGGTTAAAACGCCTCCAGTTGTTTTGACAAAGCTTC